GGCTGCGCTCTATGTTTACTTAATCGCCGGCGGCTTCGGAACGCTTTTAATGGCTACTACCATATTAACTGTAACACTAATGGCTTTGGAAAGGTGGATGCACATGACAAAGAGACGCTGGGGAAATCTGAGTCGCATTTGTAAACTGTTCATCGCGCTTCTTTCTCAGCCAATACTGCTGGTGGTGTTTCGTTCGCTGGAATTAATAACACCAGGGTCGTTTTGCACTGCTATGAATACACTCGTGATATGCCAGTTCTCAATCTGTTTTACAACAACCACCATTACTTATATTAAAATCTTGTTCAAAATTCGTCGCCACAAACGACAAATTCAGGCAAGTTTTTCATCGCAGAATGCTCCAAGGTTTTCATGTGTCAGCTTAGCGAAGTACAAGAAATCTGTGTTGACTATTTTTTACCATCTGGCACTGTTCTACTTGAGTTACTTTCCATTTACTGTGAGTGTAATTTTATCGTTATCATTTGAAGACTCACTAGGTTTAAGAGCGGCTGTTAAGATATCATTGATGTTAGTTTTTGTATCATCTATGCTCAGCCCTTATCTTAACTGCTGGAGGATTAGGGAAATTCGCAACGGAGCCAGGATGGCTTTGAAGAAATTAATCTGCAGAGGTGAAAACGAACCTCAGCCGAGGACATGATCTAAGCAAATCCAAAAATGAAAGGCTTTCGAAAGGCTAATCAGTAATATTTAGGTTAATCTACAAAGAACTGATGAATAAAGGGTGTTAGCTTTTAAAGAAACTGCAGTGTTACGTCGGTGGGGATAGGACATGATAGCTTTGTTTTATTAACTATTTATTAACTGTTAATTAGCCACCTTATCGAGTTTCGAGCGTTAACCCTTCATCAGAGTCCTTCTTTCGAAAGTGGTTACACGACTCAAAGCTCTGTGGCGTCTTCATTCTAATTTTTTTGAAGTTGCATATGTTAATCACCTAAATAAATAATTTTGGTCCGTGCCAATCTTTTGTCGATCCAGTAGTCAGTTTGTTAAAAATTGGAACTGTAAAAGGTTTTTTACATCTTAATTTGAACGCAAGACAAAAAATTTGTATTGAAAGAAAAAAAAGCAAAGCAAGTAAAACGGAACGAAACAGAACAAAAAATTAAACAATTCAAAGTAAAAAAAATTAAACCAACAAAACAAAAAAAAGTCCGGAAATATGGTTGGATGCTTTGTTTTCATGTTTTATAAATATTGATGTACGTGGGAAAAGATGCAATTTAATGCAAACAAATTTCTTTCTAATTTGTACAGCTGACACCTGATCAAATTGCACGGGTACTAAATATCCTAGGAAGTAT